AATCCAGCAAGAAAAGAAAGGAGTTTCGCCGAAATTGTCTTCAGCATGGGAAGGACCCTACAGAATAGTCAAGAGGATCAATGATTTAATTTATCGAGTTCAGCGTAATACCCGGAGTAAGATGAAAGTTGCACATCTAGACAGATTGATGAAATATCATGGTCGTGAAGTTGGTCAGGACGATCAGTCTTAACAGGAGGGCAGTGTCACGGAATTTACGTGCGCCTCCGCCAGAAGATACAGAATCGGATAGCAGAATTCCAGATTTCTACAGTGCTCTTCGGGAAAAAGATCTATCGCGCTTATTCTGGATTTCGCAAGAATAGATTACGGATATATAAAGGCCGGTATTAGTTAGTAGTTTTAAGTTTAAGATTGACTCTGATACGATTTAGAAAGTGAATTTTGTAAAAGTTGTAAAGAGTTAAGTTGTTCGAGTTAATTAGTGAAGTAATTAGTGTCAGAGGTCAGAGTGTGTAGTAACGTGGAATAAATTATTATTGTGCTAATTGGACTTTGATTATTGGAATAAACGAACCCAAGATTTCTGTCACGCACCCTAGAGCCGTGACAATATTATTAAAAACCCCAGAAACAAGAAAAAACAGAAACATAGTCGAAGGCATCAGTCCAAATTAGTTTAATTATTCGTGAGGTGACATGTTAACGCTCTACAGGCATATTCAGATCTCAAAAACAAACATGGAATAAAACAGCTAATTAGATAGGTAAGGTCCGTTTCACCAGGGTTCATACTTGACCTTGAAACTTGAAAAAAAAGGGTTGTAGATTAATTCGTATGACACATTCAATTTTTTGACAAATTAAAATGAATGACTTCTGGTTTAAGAACCGACGAACATTTTTGACGTCATTGATTTGTTTCACTGAATTTTTATTTGTTAAACAAGGAAGGCAAATGCTGGTGGCAAGTACAAAACCCTGGTGAAACAAACTTTACACGTATTTGTGAGTAATTAAATCAACATAAGTCATAAAACCAAAAAGAAATGAGATCGTTGTATCAGTAGGCATTAAGCTGAAATGGGGAAATAATAAAAATGCAACAAAAAATTACGAGTTAAGTTAATGGATGTTGATATTGGACTTTTTTGACTTGTACAGGGTATTTGATTATATTTGGACCCATACCTACAGCCTTTACTATTTAAGATTAAAAAAAAATTTAAATACAAAACTTGACAGTTTTTTTCTATATTTTCTTTTAACGTTATCAGAAAAAACAAAATCGCATCGGAAAATGGAGAAACGTAGACAACTTCGACTATTTTTAATGGAGCACCCTGTATATTTTGCGATAAAATGAAAGATTTTTTTCTTCCTGATTCCAAACATATATTGATCACATTCGAGTGAGCCGTTTTAACATATTTTAGATTAAATTATAAATAATTTGCATTGAAATTTCATAAGGATGTCAAGATATTCAAATCTTTATAAAATTTCTTTGGATTTTATTTATAATTTAAGCTAAGATATAATTAAAAACGGCTTACTCAAATGTGATAAATATATATATAGGGTGGTCCAAAAAAAACCGGAATTTTGTTTTTCAGCTGTAACTTTTTTATTTGTTGACCAATTTTCTTTTGTTTTAGCTTGTTTAAAAGAGAAATGAACAGGCTAACGAATCAGAGTAAAACTTTTGACATTTGACAAAAATCCAAAATGGCGGACTCCTTCAAAAATTGCCTAGTTTTGGATAGGACTGGCACTTTTTTGTGACACCCTATATAAGTTTTTCTAATAAATTCTTAAAGTTCATCATTTTGCGAACATTTTAAGACCTCGACAGAAAAAATCGGTTGAAAACTAAGTGAAATATTGAATTTTTTGTAATATCGAATTTCAATTTTTTTATTGACAGCAAAATCTATAGGATATGCTATTTCAGCTAGAATTTTTTTTCTACTCGACATATTTTTTCTATTTCGGGCTTGTTCGAAAGATAAATAGATAGGATAAGGATTCGAAATGAAGATTTTGACTGTTGAGAAAAAATTGAAGATTTCCCAGTTCCTTTAATATAGCCATTTTCGAAAAAGTTAACGATAAGTTTTCTAACAATACGAGTGATATTTTTATTTATAAATTTTAAAAAATAAAGTAAACACATTTAAGGGGCAAGAGGCGATATGCCCTCCGTAGGCCTCAACAACCTATGCTAAACGTCTACGCCAAGAACCGATAGAATTGGCAATGTTACGTTGTTCCAGCAGTTCTCTCCAACACTCAATGATTCGGTTTCGCAGCTCTCCTGAATTATTGAACGTAGCCCCATTTCCGTAGACTTTTTCTTCCCAATCCCCTCATAAAAAGTAATCGCAGGAATTCAAATCTGGGCTATTAGGCGGCCAATCAACGGGCTGTATAAAATTTGCAACTTGCTCTCTTAGATAGTTGATAGTAAAGCGGCTATTATGTCACCTGGCTCCATCTTATATACAAACAGTATTTCACCAAAGTTTTTGTGAGAACCAAAATCTGAACAATAAATGTAAGTTATAAAGTCACCTGCATAAAAGTGTAGTCTTGAGCTCACAGTTCAATTTCGGATCAAGGTTCCTAAAGTTAACGGGTTTTCTGGTAATGGGTAACTTGATGACGCATCTAGAGTGCCTTATGGAGATTTGCATTATGTTTAGGCATACAGATGACGTCATAAAAATAATCAGGCAATCTACCTCTCTCAAACAACCTTGATTTCGGATAGCATATGACGAACACAAGCTGACAATACTTGCGTGAATCCAAGCGAACTCCTTGGTCGATAAAATTAGTTGTGCTTTGTGGCTTCGAGAAATTGCTGCAGATAGATACCATTAAATAACTGCTGAATTTTTCTCTTCCTTTGTCTGCTTTTCGAGCTTGGAGGCAAATTCGTAGTTGGTCGTTTTGTGAATTCTTTACTCCGGATAAGGTGAAAATTTTCCCATCACTGAACCAAATTTTTCGGATTTCAGCACGGGTTCTAAATCCATTGAGTAGGACAGTTTAAATGTGTAGTCCCGTTTAACATGCTTCAGCATTAAATCACTTTTAATTATTCTTTACTTTCAACTATCTAAGAGAGCAAGTTGCGAATTTTATACAGCCCGTTGACTGGCCGCTGGCCGCCTTATAACCCAGATTTGAATCCCTGCGATCACTTTTTATAGGGGAACTTGGAAGAAAAAGTCCACGGAAATGGGGCTACGTTCAATGATTTAGAAGAGCTGCACAATCGAATCATTGAGTGTTGGGGAGAACTGCTGGAACAACGTAACATTGCTAATTCTATCGATTCTTGGCGTAGACGTTTAGCATGGGTTGTTGAGGCCCATGGAGAGCATATCGCCTCTTGCCCCTTGAATGTGTTTACCTACTTCATTTTTTAAAATTTATAAATAAAAATATTAGTCGTATTGTTAGAAAATTTATCGTTAACTTTTTCAAAATTGGCTATGTTGAAGGAACTGGGAAATCTTCAATTTTTTCTCAACCAGCCAAAATCTTCATTTCGAATCCTTACCCTATCTATTTATCTTTCGAACAAGCCCGAAATAGAAAGAATATGTCGAGTAGAAAAAAAATCTAGCTGAAATAGCATATCCTATAAAAAACTTATATAGGTTATCACAAAAAAGTTCCAGCGCTATCCAAAACTAGGCAATTTTTGAAAGAGTCCGCCATTTTGGATTTTTTTCAAATGTTGAAAGTTTTACCCTGATTCGTTAGTCTGTTCATTTCAAACAAGCCAAAACAAAAGAAAATTGGTCAACAAATAAAAAAGTTACAGCTCAAAAACAAAATTCCGGTTTTTTTTGGATCACCCTATATATTTGGAACCAGGAAGAAAAGATCTTTCATTTTATCGTTTAATATACAGGGTGTTCCATTCGAAAAAAACGAAGTTGTCTAAGTTTCTCCATTTTCTTATGCGATTTTGTTTTTTTCTGATTACGGTAGAAAAAAATATGGAAAAAAACTGTCAAGTTTTGTATTAAAATTTTTTTTCTATCTTAAATAGTAAAGTAAAGGCTGTAGGTATGGGTCCAAATATAATCAAATACCCTGTACGGCACTTTGGAGTCGCTTTCGATTTATTTTTCTAGCTTGTAGAGCGCTGTTACCTGTCGAGCGAATTTGGACGCCACTGGCATGTGAGGTGCTCCAAATGCGAATTATCCTGGCTTCTAAAGCCTGAAGGGTTGTGGCCTGAGTTTATGCTAGGTAGTGGAGGATTTGAACTCTCCTCTTGAATTTTAGGCTTTTAGGGTCTTTTTGGTTTAACTCTGCAGTTTCCTGGCCTCCAGCTGTAGGGTTAGAGTCGCTCTGCCTCAAATATCTTCGCTTAGTTCTGGTGCGAGTGAATTCGGACTCTCTGGCTTCTAGGGCTGTTGGATTATTTCTCCTGGACTCTGCAGCGGTGTAGAATGCAATAGGGGTATCCTTACTTATAGGATCGCCAGTCTAATTTTGTTGGAGTACAGCGGAGTCGATCTGACTGGTTCTTTTTTTGCTCGATGAATTGGATGAAAAGGGTTTGCTACCATGATACACCCTCTTGGGAGAGGAAACTATTAATTAATTAATTTCGAAATTATTATATTCACTATTCACTGATTATAGAAAATATGTTACATGGAAAATATTCTCAATCATTATATAATATATTATTAGAAATAAATTTTACGTTACTTTTAACATCACTAATTTTACTTAAGTTTCCCAAAATATGTATATTCGACTGCTTTTTACGTGCGGCAAAATTAAACCTCGCTCCTGTGCTTCTTTTAATAATTAACATTTAACGCCTTGTGTTAAAGTTATGAAATTAAGCTAACATATTTAATTTATTATTATGCTAGAATTCATAATAGGCTTTTGTTAAAAATAGAGAAAAACAATTAGTGCGGAAAATAATAAAACTTGCTGAATATTTAAATATCAAAACCTGGCAAAATGCTTTCTGCATTAATTATTCTCGTTTGTTTCAGGTTTAAATTTTTGCCAAGCAGACGACAATGAATCAAGGTTAATGAAAAATCTAATGGAAAACTACGACGCGGGCGTTAGACCCGCTCAAAATTCTTCATTACCTTTAACTGTCATATATGGAGTTTCGTTACATCACATCATTGATGTTGTAAGTATGACACGAATAGGGATAAGGGCTGGATTCTAGTTTTGTTTTTTGTTTTATTTGTAAGTATGCTCAATCAGGATTATAATCTAGGAATGTAGAACTAACTACACTCAATCATTAATTTTAGATTGATTGTACCTTCATTTATAATATTCTTAACAAACGGTCTTCTTAAAAAGTACTTGCGACTTAACCATGTAACCAACATTCAACTAGCGCAAACTGTAGTATAGAAGAAGAGTCCTTAGATAACCCAAACTAACCTATCTCTCAAGAAAAAGTTGTGAATATATTATGGTGAATTTAAGTGAACTCTCAATTCTCAATTCACCAGAACTAGTGTGTTCCAACGCATCTTCAATTCATTGTACATATTTATAATATGAGCTTAAATTTGTTATCTACTTTTATTTGAACATATGCATTCGAGTCTGATCCCGGGATATCGCTACCCTTTCATTCACAAAATGGAAGTGAATAAAAAAAATCGAAAATGTTGGAGGATAACATTGTTCGACCTTCATGCAGTCCCTGGTCATCACCAGTATGAATTGTTCCGAAAAAGAAAGATGCCTCTGGTACCCAAAAATGGAGAATGGTAGTTGATTACCGGAAAATAAATGAGAAAACAACTGACGACAGATATCTGTTACCAAACATAACCGATATACTTGACAGTTTAGGGAGAAGCAATTATTCTACAACAGCTTCTGGATTTCATCAAATTGAAATGAACCCTGATTCAATACCTAAAACAGCATTTAACGTAGAAAACAGTTATTACGAGTTTAAAAGAATGCCATTTGGATTAAAAAATCCACCTGTAACATTCCAAAGAACTATGGATAACATATTAGCAGGACTACAGAATAAAATATGCTTGGTGTATATGGACCCATAATCTTTTATGGGTATTGCTTCAGGCCATCTTGTGAAACGGTTGATCGTTGTCACAGCAGACTCAGTGGCCAAAATATTCTTCAACCATTGGAAGCCCAAAAATAATCACAACTGATCAGGTATCATAATTTGAGAGTTCTCTATATACTGCGCTGTCGCGTTTAGTTGGTGGCAAGCGCATACGAACGATAGTTCATCATCCAGCAGCTAATGGAATGGTAGAGCGGTGGCATCGGACTCTCAAATCATCAATAATGTATCAACAACATCCTCAGTGGACTCAGCACAGTTCTACTTGGACTCAGAACATGCTACAAAGAAGATCTCAAGGCATCTCCAGCGAAATTCATGTATGGAACAACACTGAGACGGAGAAGAAAGTCAGAATAGATCTCGACAAAAATCAGCCGATACCAGTAATTTTACATTCATAGAACATCCACTGGTAAATTGTTTGTATTTTGTTTTCTCGATCTCATGAATGTACTAAATTTTATGTTCTTGTATTAGGTATTTTTCAAGTACCACTCAGTTTGGGTTAGAAAATGATGAAAAAAATAGGTTGGTAGGACTTGGCGGGTCATAATGAGATGTAAATTAAAGACAAGAGAAATCTTTTGGCTACCCAAACAAGCCCTACCTACGACTTTTTTCGTTCCTGCAGAGAGTTTTGAAGAAAAATATCAGACAATTTTTTTCCAGCAAGTGTGGTGTGGTGCAAACAAAAATCCTATTTTTCTGCAAAAAAATTCTAGCAGACAAATTGTAAATAATAACTTTAGTTTGCAAAAATAAATTTAATTCAACAATATGTACATAAGCTTTACATACCAATTTTGCCAAGAGGACATTTTCATCAACGTAGTAAACAGAATGTTTTCCTAAGCAATCCCATTTATTATCTGCCACAAAACGGAAAACAATTTTTATATCTCATGAAAAAACGATCCTGAAAAGCGTATAAATATCAGGTGCTGCTTTTTTCATTGTAATTTCAAAAAGGCTTCCAAATGGTATAAAGTAACACAGGCTCGCTCAGATAAACGAATAAAAGGTCGGTTGAGGACGACCTTAGGTTGATTTATTATAATCGCTTTTTGTTTTGCTTTTCTTTTTCACATGTTTAGTTATTACATAGATACCTGTTTGAGCTGAATGACTGTACTGACATTTTTATTTATTAGGTTTCGGAGATTAACATTTTTTCTTTCGTGTCTGATAAAGGTAATTTTATTTGCTATTGCTATAAGAAATTTCAGTGAAAGTGAAGGTAAATGTGCTGTAAATATTACTGTATAAGTTATATTAAAAATCGACATGTTATTATCGTACAAATAATGATCCTTTTCAATGTCAAACATAAGCATATACGCCACTGTAAAATCCCACCATATTATGAAGTTGCTGAATAAGGCATATTCAGCCTGGAAAAGTACCGTCATATCACTCATATCGATAGGGTTGCACCGATTTAGTTGCAGCATCGGCATTATTTTAACATAAATAAGCCTCGCGGAGCTCTCTGTTCATTCTTTTGTTTTCAGATTTCACTATAGCAATTAGAATCAAGATTCTTTTGTTTTCAGGCTTCTGCCGCAGTAATTAGAGTCTTGTATTTTATGTTGTAACTTCTGAGTTTTTAATATGATAAATAGTTAATAGTTTTTAAAAACAAGATCTACCTACTGAATTTATAAAATTGAGATTTATTTTTCTTTGTTCATGAAATATGATTGAAAAATTGCAAATGAAGTCGAAACAGTATAAGGAAGGAATAACCAAATTTGAAAAAAGACGTTATTCAAAGAGCGAACAGGCATTCGGCACTGTAACTAAAAACCAGGTGTCAGCATATGAACTTTTCACCTAACCAAAGGCGCCTTACAACAAACAATAAAATTATGTAAAAATAACTCCAAGTCGCAGGAGCATCCTTTACGAATAACTTCATTTTTTCTGAGCGACATATTTCTGTATGAGACTTTCTAGTACGTTCAAAACTAGGCCCATCATCTACCCATTAACGGAAATTGTAAAATTCTGGATAAGTGTAAATAAAGGACTTCAAATTTAATGTTTAAACCAATGACATCAAAACACAGATAGACCGAACAATAAACAAAATTTTCGTATGACAACATCTCTCTGTCTCTTTTGGGTCTTTGTGCTATCCCCACCACTGAGAATGCCAAATTTTGTCTTGAATCCCTAAATAATATATTTTTCTCCTCTAATTAACATTTTCAATTTTATTTCTGAACTCAATTTGGCAACAGCAGATTATAGCAAAACACCGCCCAGAAGCGGCTTGTTGAATGGCAGGCAGGTGTTGATTGTAGTAGCTAGCTATCTTTATTGCAAACAGGGATTATTCATTAGCGTTAAACAAGAAACGACTAACACGATATTGGTACTCCCAGAATACAGGGCTCGTATCGAATATTTTCAGTTTATTTGTCAATTTGTTATTTTATTTATTCATCCAATTAAATTTCGAGATATATTCACGTGTGGGCGGGGTTTTTTACACCATTTTGAGCAATGATGTCTCCCTACCCCGACCCCGCGAGCAACTCACCTCCCCTGGCCCATGGGTGGTGTTGTCAACACAACAAATATCAGTTTATGAATGGGATGATCCGTCTATCTGTGTTTTGATGTCATTGGTTTAAACTCTTGTATTTATATGCAAATGTGTACATAACTACATGAAAACGTCAACTGGCTTAGTTATTCATTGTTGTCAAATTGCACATTTCCATTTCCTAAATACAATATATTACAAAAATAGTGATTCCTACGAGATTAACGAAACGAGACTTTCATAAAGTCTTATCTCGTCTCGTCGATGAAATAGGAAGTCTTCTCTCGCAGCCTCAAGTCTCGTCTCGTTCGAGAGTCTCGCATTCTCTGTGTACTTTGCATTCACGTGGAAATATTCACCTGCGAGACTCTCGCATTCTCTGTGTATAGTTCGCCTTACGAGTCTAGCACTACAACGTCTGAAGGGCAAGGGGGAATAACGCCATTCATTTCGAGCTTTATGCTGCCTGTCATAGGCGTGCGCGCAGCGTTTTTATATATTACTTTTTCCTTATGAATATAAGTGGGTAACATAGATAAATATTAAGATATTTTCTATTGGAAGTCAAATAGGCAATATTGCAATTTTTTTATCCGCATTCTTTCCATAGTGCTAGACTCGTAAGATGAACTTTACTTTGCATTCACGTGGAAATATTCACCTGCGAGACTCTCGCACAGGACACGAGACGTCTCGCACGAAACTCGAAATGAGACCAATAATCGACCGTTTCACAAGATGGCCTGGAGCAATACCCATAAAAGATTATGGGTATTGCTTCAGGCCATCTTGTGAAACGGTCGAAAATCTTGAGACTTTGGAATTGGTCCCACCAGGTCGATGAGTACGTGATCGCATCGTTGATCTGGGTTGGGAAAGGTTGCAAACTGCACGTGAACGCGGCGTCCTACCTTCGATTTATGCCATAGCAAGCATTTTCGAGCCCATTGTGTTATGTCTTCATTTATAGATGATCAAACATAGGGTTGAGAAACTATCTTGTTAGTGACTCGCCCACCGGGATGTGCCAAGTTGTGGAAAACATAATAGACTTGGCGGCGCAGCGTTTGTGGCACGAAGGGTATGATGTCATTGGTGGATACGTCACAGTAGACACCTTGATGGTCTGCTCCATATGTGAGTCTCTGAAACTTCAGTGAGGTTTGGTTGTTTTTCAATATGTCTTTCAGCTTATTATCGGCTTCTTGTGCACATCCATTCTGGATAAGGCGTCTGCCACATTGTTTTCATTGCCCGCAAGATACTATAGTTTAGTTGTAAATTGGCTGATGTAGCTGTGTTGTCTGACTTGTCTTGGTGAAGCTTAGTCAGCACCTTGTTGAAAAGCGATTGTGAGAGGTTTTTGGTCGGTCCTAATCGTGAATTCTCGGAATTCGACCCATTACTGGAAGTACTTTATACGGCTTCATAGAAGGCAGTGAGCTCTCTGTCGTATGTGCTTGTAGTTCTTCTTAGCAGCCGAGAGTATTTTGAAAAGAATCTCAAGGGTTCCTAATTACTATTGACGCTTCGTTCCAAGACCGCTCCTAGCGCTGTACTTGATGCATCTGTGGTGAGATGGACTTCGGCTCCGATTACTGGATGAGAGAATAGAGTCGCGTTAACTAGTTGCTGTTCAACTTGGGCAAATGCTGCTTCTGTGTCTTGTGTCCAGGGAACTGGTCTTTGGTCACGATGATCCTTCTGCTGTGATTTGATAGCCAAGGAAATTCACACTTGGTTGACCATAAACACATTTGCTCATGCTCTTCAGGCGTCTTAGAAACAATTTTTGGGTCGTCCAGATAGGCATAAATGAAGTTAAGTCAATTTATTACTTTATCTATAAAGCGTTGAATGGTCTGAGTCGCTCTTGAGAGGCCAAAAGGCATGACGAGGAACTCAAAGAGTCCAAATGGCGTCATAACGGCAGTCTTGGCAATTACTTCTTCTGCTACTGGTATGTTGTGGAAAGCTCGTCGAAGATCAATTTTTGAGAATATGCTGTTTCCTGCGAGCATTGAAGAATACTCTAGGATTAATGGTACTGGATACTTGTCAGGGATTGTTTTTGCATTGACATTGCGGTAATTTCCGCACGGTCGCCAGTCTCCGTTTTTCTTTTTGGTTAGGTGCAAGGGACTGGTCCAAGGACTATCGGATGGCCTGGCATAGTCTAATGCAACCATGAGTCTGAACTCGTCCTTGGCAACTTTTAATCGCTCTGGGCATAGTGGTCTTGCTCGCTGAGCACACGGAGTTCCTTCCGTGGGAATGTAGTGCTTAACAGAATGTTTGCTCCCTGTACGATTGGATGGGTTTGCCATTAGTTCAGGAAAATCCTTCAGAATTGCCGTGTACGCGTGTTGTCTGTGACTGCATGAATTGAAGTGATTGGAGCTGGACCGTATGTTCCTTTGCTTTTTGCATTCTCTATTTGAATCGATCGTCCATTTTTTAGGTCCACCAGGAGTCCGTATTTGTGAATGAGATCTGCTCTCATGATGGAGTGGTCGGCGTAGTCCGACATTTAGAGTAATCGCACGCCTTCCATAGGTTTGTACTTCTGTATTATTTGCAGCACAAAGTTTGCGTTGTTTTGGCCTCGCCTTGTCCGCTGTTCTTGCTGGAATCACAGAAACCGCACCATTCTCGACTAAGATCTGGGTTCCTGAGATTCGATCTTGGATGAATAGTCGGCGAGGGGTTTGTGGACCGCCAGCAGTCACCGAAGCTATTAGCGGTCATGGTGGTTTCCCTGCACTGGTTTCTATCCGCATAGGGTTGTGTACTTGGTTGAATTCTTGCCAAACCTGTGGTGATAATAGCAGACTTTTGAGCTGTTCGGTGGACGTGGTGTTGCACTGCGAGAACGACCCCTTCCGCTTGAAGCCAGACACAAATTGTCTACTTTTTGGTCAATCCTTGGACTTGTTTGTTCAATTTCTGCACTTTTTGTTCCAAGGCACTGTTTCCTTGGGTTTGTGAAACGTCCATTATATGCCCTGGCACTGTTTTCTCTGGATTTCCATCACTCAATCTGCCAAGTGTGCCAAAGCTTCGTTGCTTAAACCATCTGCTGTAGCAAGGGCAAATTGCACTTGTTGTGGAAGACGATCAGTCCAGAGAGCTCTCAAAAAGTTTTCGGTCAGTTGATTGCCACCTAGCTTGGTCATTTCTGTTAGAAGTTCTGAGGGTCATTTATGCCCCGGTTGCATTTTTCCGTTTCCTATTTGGTTACCGCTACACGGAGCGCTAATCCTTTAAGACTTGTAAAATTATATCTGACATCGCGTTTCCTATTAGGCCAGCGCACATTGTCTACCGCTACATGGAGCTCTAATTACATAGGTCTTGTTAAATTATATCTGACGTCGCGTTTCCTTTTAGACCATAGCAGCCAGCGCACATGAATTAAATAAAAACTTATGAAACACTTTTTCAGAGTTGCAGGCAAGCACTTTGCCGCGGTAGAAAATATACTTTAGTAATAATAATTGTTTCTACTGCAAAAAAAATATAAGTGGCAGAAAAGAACTTTACTGTTACACAACCAAGGTACTTTTTGCTAACTTAGTAAAGTGCGTTCTACTACTAGAATAGGATCGTTTTGCAATTACAGCTAAAATGTCTGCTATGATAGCCGAAAATCCATTAGTAAAGAACTTTTGGCTAGAGGATTTCTCAGTGCAGAATCAATAGAGATAATAAAACGAGACACAACGAGAAATATTAGTTACAAAATTATTGCACCACCTGTAACCACCAATTAACCTGGAAAAATGACAACGATAATGAAATAGATTGCAGTGCAATGGATGTCTGCAGACGATCGCGGAGGGTGTGCGCTGTTCTAATAGGAAACGCGACGTCAGATATAATTTAACAAGTTCCATATGATTAGCGCTCCATGAAGAGGTATAGACAATGTGCGCTGGCCTAATAGGAAACGCGATGCCAGATATAATTCAACAAGTCCTAAAGAATTAGCGCTCCATGTAGCTGTAACCAAATAGGAAACGGAAAAATGCGCTCCGGTTCAAGATCAGAAACCACTTACTTAAATTGCACTTCCTGTGGGACAGAGTAGTGGTTTAACAAGGTGTCTTTTAGTGCTTGATACTTATCTGTTGCTGGTGGATTTTCAACAATGTTCTCATTAATTAATTCTAGGTCAAGGCGTGCGACGACTGCGTTGTATTTTGCTGAATCAGATGTAATTCTCCAAGTGTGTGCTTCGATTGAGGTGAACCATAAACGTGGTTTACTTGCCAAATTTGTGGTTAGGTGCAATGTCTCCAATGAACTGATTGTTGAAGGAGCCCCTGCTGTGTTATTGGGTTGTTCTTGGCCACCATTATCGCCAGTTACAGCTTCGTATCATTCATTTCCAATATTTACGATGACTGAATTTTTTTCGTAATATTTCTCGTGCCGATCACGTCGGGGTCAACAATTATGTGGGGATCTGCACCACACAATATTATCAATTACTGTTATTTCGAATTTCAACAGAAGGGTGTCAAATTGGCCACAATAACATACAAAAAACTTTTTATTTATTCTTCCACACTTTTACTTTCTTCAAACAGCTGATTATCTCGTCGCCAACTCTTACCAACCCATTCTTTCCGGCATTTTCTCAGGTTGGTAGCATTAGTAGGCAGATCCTTACATCCTAAGTACTACCAACGCCACCTCCATAAAAAATGCATTACCTAATGTATCTTATACTGAAGAAAAAAAGACTGCATTATAATGTTTCAAAACATCGGCAAACTTATTAGTGGCAGAGTCTGTTTGTTTGTTATACCTATATAATCGAGAACATCCCTGTTGACAAGCGCACCTGGATGTCTATTCTCGAAACCGAGGAAAAGCGTTCTCATAAGAACGATTGCTCCGTCTTTGTCAGTGTTATGAAAATATGAAAATGGGTGACGAAGACAGAACCTTCGTTCTCATGAGAACGCTGCTCCTCTGTCTCGAGAATAAGGACCCTGGCCTATTAACCAATCGCCCTATTTTGCAGAACATTATCGATCAATGTTTTAGTTTACGCCAGGAATCAGACTCATTTGTATTCAGTATAGGTTCAATATAACTCATTGATTGATTTTATCTTTTTTTGGATTGGACATCTAAAAATGTCTAGAAAACCTGTTACTAGGTTTTTCTTTGTTATAGAAACCTTCATTGTTCCAGGATGAAAAAAATCAAATCCTCACCACGAATTGTTGGATAACTCAAGTCTGGATTGATCACCACTTAAAATGGAATTCCTCAGAGTATGCTGGAATAAAGGTGATCAGAATACCTTATCATCGAGTGTGGAGACCCGATGTTATTCTTTACAATAAGTAAGTTGAATAATGGATAGTATGTATGTATTTTTTTTTCTCAAAATACAAGCTTCAAGCTTTTATGATTTCTTTATTTTATGGACGACTCACACTGTGACAGCTTATTACGTAACTCATTTTAGCCTGTTTGAGTTACGTAATAAGTTGTATTATCGTACTGGTGATGTAATGAGCTCATTAAATCACACGATGAAAATTCCTAGCATCCCTACTGTTGTGATTGTTGTTGAAATCAATATGAGTCAACCGTGTTATCCGAGAGAAATGTACAATATGAACCAAAAAAGTAGCAAAATAATATTGAAATGTCAAGGAAGTCGCTAATTATGAATGTTAGTCCTATTAAGCCTAATATACGAAGAAGAAAAAGTTCTTTCTCTCATAAAAATTCCATTATGTATCACCATTTTCGGGGGCTTTGGTTATGCTTCCCTGATCGGAACCTAACTAGTAAATACCCTTTAAGCAAAAAGGTTTCTCAATCATACAAAATCTTTGGGGTTGTTTTCATAGAACGAGACCACCAATATTGTATTTTATGGTACTGACAACTTAGGTTCATTCTAAGATCAGATGAAGGATAGTTCCCTCCAACGATATTTCAGTGTTGGCAAATAGTATTATCAAGTCGGGTCCTCTCTCCAAGGGAAGAATAAAAAGTTTAATACATCACACGCTGCAAAAGCCCTTTTAGGTGCTCGGAGGTATTCAAAAAGCCTCGGCTGTGCTTCGCTTCGCCGCGGCTATTTGAATACACCTCGCACCTGAAAGTACGCTTTCGCAGCTTGGAATGTAAATAACTATTCCTGTCTTGAATTAAAAGTCAAGAAATAGAAAAAGCATCAATCTTGTTTTCGCCCGTTTCTTGAAGGCGTCTTGATTGAAGAAATCGAGAAATCTCAAAATATCTTTACACTGCGATGAATCTCTGTTTATATAACCTCTTTTTTATCATATTCTATTATTGCCAAAGTTTTCTAAGGTGTAGTTCGGTAGTAATTTGTAACAAAGGAAATAGATTAATTTGCAGTCTAGTATCCAGCAACGAAGGTAACTGACTAAATTTTGAGGTTAATGAGGTTAATTTTCTTGTGAAACCGAACTGAACCCTCATCAGCTAGCAGATATCAGGTAACTGATGCCGATGGATACTCAAAAACAGATAAAGTCCGAATGTCTTTTGGACCTATGTTTCTGGAAAATGCAAGAATAAACGGGAAAAATATACTTACTTATACGAAACTCAGAAGAAAAAAGATTAATAATTGAAAAGGCCTGTGAAAATTTTGTCATCCGATCTTTTTTATTTCTAATTTTTTTCGAGATTTTGCCCCTAAATCAATAATAGTAAGTAACCCTTGTGGTGTAATCACCCGAGCTCAACCAGCTGAAAAAAATATATAATCAAAGCCATGTCAATGTATTAAACCCCTATCAATTTTTATTTTGAATATAATTTAGGATTATTTATAGCTGAAATTTTTTTTCGAAATTTCTGATGAAGCAATTTTTCAGTGCTGACCCCCAGTATATATCATCAGTCATCAACACAAACGTCATAGTCTCCAGCAACGGGGAAGTAGTTTGGCTCTCTCATGGTATCTACAGATCTTCCTGCGATATCAACGTCGAATATTTCCCTTTCGACGTACAAAGCTGTCATATGAAATGGAGTTCGTGGACCTATGATGGATATCAGGTAAGCAAAATTTTGAAAAATATTGGCATCGAATATAATGAATGCGTAGACGGTATCTACCAAAAAATAGTACCAATGGGCACCTGAAAAAATATATTCAAATCAGTTTCCTATTTAATATACTTGAAGTACTCATACACCAGGTTGTTTAAGCATAAGAAATTTGCGTACCTACGCAATCTTTATTAACTTTTAGCACATTTTTACATAAATGAAAAATTTCGATTATGTATATTGAAGATTATTAAGAGAGATAATTTGAGAAACAAAACAAACTACTGTTGAACAGATTGTCTTTGCGACGTTTATCAATTCTACTTATTCGGTATTATAGCAATAATTTCAAGTATTTTATAGGTAAGTGCGCGCACGTACGTAATTGGAAAATATATTCCATTTAAACTCAGTACTTGATTATTTTCAATTTATTGCTACTAAATCAGAACTTCTCTTTGTATATTGGAGACTTACCTAATTGAAATTAAATTATTTTTTTCCATAGCTACTGGCAAAGTAGCCTTTAATCTACTAAATAGTAGATAAAGTAGTACTTTAACAGCAAGGATAGATAATAGCTATTTATGATATAAGTGCTAAAAGTGACATTTTATTTTGTGAAAAGGAAAGTTTGGGACACGACGCCAAAGGCAGAGTGTTCCATCCCTTTGAAAAAAATAAAATCACTTTTAGCACAAATATCATACACTATTTTTTCTACAAACGCACTAAAAGTGATTACTTTTAGCACTAGTGCTAAAAGTAATCACTTTTAACACCAGTTTCATAAAATGGCATTTTAGACACTGACAGCATCCGTTAAAAGTGGCACTTTTAGTGACGTTTATAGAAAAAGACGTTTATTTTGTCAAAAATATATACATATATTTTGTTTTTTATTTATTTGTCAAAGTTTGTCTAACGAATTTCTACTTATGCAAAAGTGTTCGACTCAAATAATTTCTAAATATTTTTGATACTACAGGCGTCCATAATTAGGCTATGGAAAAAAACTTTGTTTTACACACGACGATAAAATGCCATTATCGTCTCCCGGAATTAATTCACTCGCGATTCCGCTCGTGAATATACTTTTCCGGTCAACGATAAACTACCATTTTATCGTCTTGTATAAAAAATAACTATGATTCAATTTTAATTTTCCAGTTTTTATTTGAGATGTTTCTATTTTATTTATTCTATCGCGAATGGTAAACTATCATTTGTTCGACTCAAAACTCGATGTCAAAGTAATAATTCATTTGAAATAGTGGAATCGAACAAATTTTACCCACTCATGTCAATTTCATCCACTCGTGTCAATTTTACTCACTCATTCGTCAATTTTACTCACTCAATACTTGAACGTTTTGACAACTTTTCGGTTTTTTGTTAAATACTTCCGCTTAAGAATAAAATAGAATATCGCACACAACGGTAAAAAAGCTTTACCGTCTTGTTTGATAAATAATAAAACTATTACTTGATTCGATCAATTCTAAGTATTGTTTCACTCAACCGTTTTATATTTCAATTTCTATTTGACATAAAGATTTTTTGAGAACATATTAGGAATTTAATAAGCTATACAGGGTCCCAACTATTTCATAGGGACAGTATTGCTATTTCGAGAACGGTTAAAGTTACAAAGGTGTTTAAATTAGAAAAAAGTTGCCATTTTTGGAGAATATTGAAAATATATTTTCGTTGTTGCCAAATTTCTATTAGTTTCGCAAATATAGAGTGATTTTTGAAAATTAGCAAAAACAATTTTATCAAATATTTCAAAATGTATTGATTTTAGGGACATAGTTTAAACTCAAAAGTATCATTTTTCTAATATTCTTCAAAAATGGCAACTTTTTTCTAATTTAAACGTACGCGTAACTTTAACCGTTCTCGAGATAGCAATGCTGTCCCTATGAAATAGTTGGGACCCTGTATATGTATAGGAAAATTTCCTCCTGATTAATCTTGATTAAAATTACTCTTGAAACCACTTCTCTTCGAATTCAGAATATTATGCAGGTACAGTCGTGATTCTGTGGTCGTGAGCTTAAAAAGTGGGACTGACAGGTCTTGTCATTTTTCGCTATTTTGGTTAAATCAGTCTTTTCTCTACACAATAGATTTTTTTGTCAAACATGACAATCCCTGATGAATCCCTGTCATTGCCGTTGGTATAGCTGATGAGCTCGTTTCACAATAGGAAAAAACGGGTGTCCCACTTTTTATGCTCACGACACGACTGAACGTCCCTTTACAAAATTGCCGATTGCAAAACTATTCGCTGTGGACTTTCCGAAACCTTTTGATAGCTACTTACTTTATAATAAAGATTTTAATTTGAGTGCTATTTATTTTATTTGTTAATTTATTTATTTATTTATTTCACGTATGAAAAAAGATACATATACGTCGTTTTTAATCTGAAATTTTCCGTATGAGAAGCGAGGGGGTGTGACGTCAGGTGACATTGGCGTTCTAATGTAGGGTGCCACCAGCTAATATTCCTTTGGAGTATCAGATTAAAATCGACGGACTTCACATTCGAAGTTGTACATACGTTACTTTTGTTTATGTTTACATTCTTTGATGTTATGATAATGTCACTCTGCGTTTGTGCCTAGTTGATGATTTTATAATTTCCCATCTTCAAATAATACCAATTTTTCGACTATCATGATCGAAACTGTTTAAATTGTATTCCATTTTCTCGATTATTTCATGTTTTGAGTTTTCCATTATTTCTTGATATTTATTTCTGTCTTAAGTAAATAATGGTCATTACTGCATGTGGCACCTCTGTACATCCTTACAAATTTGGTCAGATTAAAAAAATGTTTCTTGATTTAAATGTGAGAATATCATTATTCTCGCACGCAAAATCATTGAAGAGTGAAGCTCATTCTTCAATGATTTTTCGTGGCATTTAGTTTTCAAAGTATACCTATTGGTACCTTCAAAATTATCGAACCTTTTGAAATAATAGGTCTGTTTCTACAGAAATTACAAACCAGTCAGAGTGAATTTCATTGGCTGAAACTAGTTTTCTGACTGTTTTAAACCAATGAAATTCGCTCTGACTGGGTTTGTGATTTCTTCAGAAACAGACCTGTCTGAACCCATGTGGACTGTATTGAATTTTATTGCCGGGAACGCCAGCAACCATTAAATGAAACACAGACACTATTGCTCTTTTTGGTTTTCACATCAACTACTGAAACTTCTACATTCACAATGTGATTATAACTTTTATTTGTCATTCATTTGTAAAACGTCACTTATCAAGTCAAAACATAAAAAACGAAAATTGATTTTTACAAGCTACAGGCTCTACTGACTTGTAAAATTGACAGCTAAACTGTAATAGTATATTACCATCCGAGACGGGAAATGCTTTATTGCTGATCGAGAGGTTATATAAACTACGCGTCAATTGAACTCGAACACCCCAATTTTTGGTCACTTTTTGAAAGGCTATAACTCAAAATCTAGCAGGCCGATTTTGTTCAAATTTTCAGGAGTGAAAGGATGCTCTAATTGCTATTTAATTTCCAGTTGTTAACAGATTTCCGGCTACCTAGTAAAAGATACAGGGTGAAACATAAGTTGGCAATTTTTTTGCGAAAGTTTGGGTTCACCCCATTCTGCTGGAGGGAGGGTTAAGTAGATTTTTGGTATGCAGTTCGGAAGAGTACCTTAGTACCTCGGGACGTTTTTGAGATTTTTTGAATATCGCAGCCCACTACGATTTTATCTTGAGTTACCTATGCGATTTTATGTAAAATATAGCTATTGACGTCATTATTTCTTTCGAAACAAACACTACAATTATGGCGCATGTGGAAACACACTTTAAATCATATTCATATTATAATATAATAATAATAATATGTTTATAATAATATAATAATATGTTTATTTACGGAACCAGCCATTTACAAATATAAATTTTACAAATATAATGTAACAATATAAATTAAAACTAATTTAGCTAAAAATGATAATAGCAAATAAGTAAACAAATAACTTAGGGCATACTAACATCACAGTAAAACAGTCTGTTTTTCATTGCAGTTTTTAGTTGAGGTAGACTAGAATTAAACATATCAACATCTGAACAATGAACATTACACAATTCACATGATCTATTTACAAATGACGATGATCTGCCATAGTTCGTTCTATGGTGTGCAAATGTGTGCGGTAAAGTGCACTTTACCGCATAGTGTGCGGTAAAGTTAACTTTACAGCATAGTATGCGGTAAAGTGAACTACAAAGTGTGCGGTAAAGTGCACTTTACCGCATAGTGTGCGGTAAAGTAAAATTTAATATTTTTAATCAGAAATCCTCTCTTTTTAGAAAATGGATTTTTGATCATTTCTATATCTAATCTAATTTCATTAATTAATCTGATTCAATATTTAATTTTATCAATGCCTTTTTTTAGAGATGTAGATGCTCATAGGTAAAATTTTGTACCTAACACATGCGGAAAGTGCCTTTACCGCCCTTAACGGCTTGACCGAACTCCGCTCCGCGTCGTTCGGTCAACTAGTGTGCGGTAAAGTTAACTTTACAGCATAGTATGCGGTAAAGTTAACTTTACAGCATAGTATGCGGTAAAGTGGACTACAAAGTGTGCGGTAAAGTGCACTTTACCGCATAGTGTGCGGTAAAGTAGAATTTGATATTTATAATCAAAATTCCTTTCTTTTTCAGAAAATGGATTTTTGATCATTTCTAAACTTAATCTTATTTCATTAATTAATCTGATTCATTGATTAATTTTATCAATGCCTTTTTTTGGAGATGTAGATGCTCATAGGTAAAATTTTGTACCTAACACATGCGGAAAGTGCCTTTACCGCCCTTAACGGCCTTGACCGAACTCCGCTTCGCGTCGTTCGGTCAACTTAAAGTATCACTTTCCGCATTTGTTAGGTAAATAACTAAAACAAGTCAAAACTACGGAGGCATCTCTGAGGTACATTTATCA